TGTTCCACATGCAGGGCCCCACACTTCAGCTTCCCATTCCTCTCTGCGGCGTTCCCAGTCTCCCACCGGCCCCCTCCTGGGGAGTGTGGGTGGGCTTCTCAGATGCTGTTCAGCGGGGCAGGCAGTAGGAGGAACACCTCCAGCAGGCAAGATGGATATGCTGTCATGTTGTACCCCGAGGTCAGACATGCACCCATTAGCGCAGCACAGCTGAGAAGGTTTTCCGAGCTCCGGCTCATCCCGAGTGCTGATCTCCAGCAGAACTGTACTGCTCACACAGCCTCTTCTCTCCTGCATGTAATAAACGCCGGCGTCACGGTGCTCATGCCCAGAAAGACAGGTGGCCCCACTCCTCTCCAGCAGACCCACTATCTAGGGCCACTCAGACACGTCAGCACCCTGCCCAGGCGCCATGCATTCTGGGATTGCTCGTGAATTGACCAGGCTTTTACACGTTAACAAAGATGACGGGGGGTGCGTTTTCAAAATTTGCCAATGTCGAATCGTGAACAAACGTTTCTTCGGGAGAATAAAGAGGAGAAAAGCGAGAGGGAGACCAGCATTGTTCCTCCATTCGCTCCATTGCGGGCAATTTCTTGGCAAGTGCAACAGCTAGGCCTGTCTGCAAAGCAAAGGACACAAGCCTGCAGTAGCTATGAAACATTTCAAAGCAGGCCTTTGATCAGAACAAAGCAAACTTGTAAAAATGGAGTGGGAATAATCAGATATTATAGACTTTCATGCCTGACTTTCCAGGGTTCAGTATAAACACTAAATTTGGCTTAAGGCTACAAACCAAGAAAGCACAGTAGGACACCAGTGACAACTTTATTGAATCCAATGCTTCCTCTGAAAGGTTTATTATTTTAATTTCCCGTACAAATCTACAGCCGATACCTCCCTGAGCTTTTCCTTCGATTTCGTGTTTTTTTCCTCCCTTTGTTGTCTCCACAAACAGAAGAGTGCCTCTTCTCTAATTACATTCTCCCACTGTTTAATATTAGCAGCCTGTAAAACAAACAATTGATCCACATTTAACACGTGTACCCATGTTAGTAACACAATTTGCCAACTTGCCAAAGGCAAGAACGAGAGGGGGAAAAAAAATCCCACTCCGAGCTCCGGTTATGTGCTGCTTTCTGGGGAGAGATGTGGAGCCTGGTGAAGACACGTCAATGAGAGCAAGGTGGCCAGCGCCTTGCGAGGAATTAGCTCCCGGCAAAGCAAGAAGCTGACACCTTCCTAATCAGCCACAACCTAACTGTCTCACAGCTTCATAAGTAAATAAAGACTTACTTAGCGTCAGGGGTCTCAGTATTTTGCCAGCAAGGAGAGGGATGTCAGCTGACAAGGTAGCACAGTCTGAAATGGCTCTTAGTTCTCTGCGAGGCTAACAGATTGCCTAGTTTGCCTTTTTGAACTTCTCAGCATGTTTAGAAAACAGGAGGGGAACAACAAAAGGTGTTAATGGCTTTATGGGGGCTCCATGCTGATAGATAGCCCATTATGGGCCTGTGCTCACTTCGGAATGGCTAATAGGTCTGATCAATTAGATTTTTATGTTAAAATGGCTTTCACATTGATATGAGCCAACGGCACAGACTCTCCACGCCCAAACACAAACCCTCTGCCTGCTTTCCTCAGAGGATGAGCCCATGCAGAGCTGTGTGTGTGCATGTTTTAAGGCTGGGGAGGGGTGGGCAGGGGTGGGGGTTGGTCAGGGATGGGGTGATAAACTTTTCAGCTAGTGATCACTTTTCACACTTCCCTAAGACAACTTAAGCCTCCTCTAATTACTCCACATCTGTTGTCGTAGAAATGTTTTTTGTCATGCAGTTTGGCAAATACTTAACCATTCATTAGAATACAGACCTAATGAGGCAGTGATTACACTGCTCCCTGTATTTCCCCATAAATAATGAATAACAGTTAATTACAATGAAAGTCCAGGTGTTTTTATAGGCCTAAGATAACATGAGGTGATTTTTTTTTTTAAGAACGGGAATAAAGTAGGGAAATTCTGATTGGTAGAAGTGACCCGATCAAGGAAAAGAATAAGGCTGATCCAGAGAAAGCTGGAAAACAGCGTAGCCTCAAAGTCTGATGTATTGTACTGGTACATACACTGTTCAGAACTTTCCTTCTCCACAAGAACACAAGGCCACAAGGATCGGCACAGAGGTCTCACTCATCAGCCCTGCACTGATGTCTTTTATTTTGCGTGTGTAAGTATTCTACATCACAGATACGAAAACCAGACCTGTTGATCTGCAGAAATATGGCACCCATAAAAAAAAAAAGTCTGTAAATACAGGCACACTCAGAATGTAAATGACTGCTTCATGGGAAGGTTCAAAGTAACTCCCTTCTCTAAATACTGTTCTTAAGATCTTAGAGCAAAAAGCAAGTGAAGGCCCTTCTGCAATATTCCCACGTGACTTGAAGAAAACCTGCAATGGATTATCTCTATAATGCCTTTCAAACATACATCTGAATGTTTACATAATGGGGAATAATTGTACATCTTTATCTTTCCAAAACCTGGGCAAAAGAAAAACATCACCCCCTCCCCTACTCCGTCTCTGTACTTCCTCAGCCTGGAAATTGCCAGCCATTTGACATCAAAAGGTTGAAATTTGTGGGGTTTTATTACCTAAATTGTACAAAATGGTTTCAAATTGCTAACCATTATTGTTTATCTTAAAGCTTAGGTAAATTTGTTTTACCTCTTCTTAGCATGAAATGCAAGTTCCCCAGGCATTGGGGTTTAACATGTGGTTCATGGCAATATGGGAGCATTAGTGCTGCAGTTTGTACAGGACTGTCAGAGTCAATTTCACTGTGTAGATATCTGTTTTCTCAAACATTCCAAAGAGCTGTTACATTATTTATTCCATCGGAACCATTGACAAGAAGCACGGGTTTTTTTTTTTTAATATTTGCCTTTTTCCCCAAAAACATACATTATGGAGCACATAGATTATTTTCAGTCAACCTAGAGATTAGTGGCCATCTCCCACCACCCCGTTATACACTAACTGGCTGCACATCCCCTAAAGATACAATATATCATTATTGGCAAGTCATTGTATTAAAGACAAAGGTCACACTCAGAAAATATTAAACTTATGAAGCCCCTCTACCCCTCCCCACTCCCAAATATGCGAAGAAAGCACAAAGAATTGTGTTCTGTACTCCATGTGTGATTATATCTTCCTTCATCCTTTACGAATTGACCCAAAGGCCACTTTTTTTATTGGTCTCATATGCTGCCCACCACACAACGTACAAAAGACTCAGTTATCCCACTGAATATTAAAGCGCTTTTGCAAATATGGTCTTATACATGCGCGCACACGCATCTAACAAATATAGATGTACAGAAATGTGCAGTGTATATTATATACACACGTATCACACCTTACATGGACAGGTAACCATGTGGTTTAGTATGGCGCCTTCCTTTGCTGCGGTTGAATTTGCTCGACAATACCGCCAAAGTTTTTTCTGGGTCAGTTCTTACTTTTCCCTTGAGCTGTCTAACGAACAGGGGGGGATAAAAGGAAAGGAAGAAGGGAGAAAGAAAGAAAAGGCCCTCGTCCTTCTTTTCCGCGGCCAAAGCGGCGTGTAGCTGTAATTATCCCCGAGCCCCGGCGCTGGGAGTGAAAGAGCAGCACGGTGACAGTAAAGATGGCTGTCACTGCCATCTCTGATTCTCCGGGAAAATATGTTGGCTGAAGAGAGGGCTTCAAAATCAGCTTGAAATGAAAACAACATTTGCATCCGATTTGCCACACTCACAATATTAAAGTTTTATCCAAATGAAAACATGTCAAATAGATTTACATAGTTGCACTGACATCGTGAGGAATAAAGGGACACGGCGATCAGCAGGCACCGCATGGCACGATTTCCAGAGTCTAACGGCATTGTATTTGTTTAGCAATTATTCATTCATTTAAAAACAATAACAGAGTGGTAATATTATTCTTTGTCATGAGCATTATTACTGTTCCCCCAGCCTCTGTATATTGAGTTGCCAATCAGAATTACAAACTAGGCCGAGGGATTGAAATTATTTTTTCTAGCTCAGCCCTCATGCCTCGATTTAAATAATAAAAGAGAGCTCTATCATAAGACTTGGAGTGCCGTGCCAAAAAGAAAGTGGAAAAATTGCTGTGCGTAATGAGAAATAACAGCAAATTGAGTATATAATGAATCCGTTTAATATTTCATACTTTCTGGTTGGAAGTATCAATAGCGTTTTGGAGGAATTAAGTTCTTTTTTGGCCCCAGAACAATGGAAATTAGAATTCCACCGCCATTGGAGAGAAAATTGCCGAAAAAAACGTCTGACAGCCTAAATACAGTAATCATTTACAATTACACAACAAAAAAATACCCCCCTCCCCACCTTCTCTCTCTCTCTGAAGATCAACAGCTCAAATGAAAATGAAGAGAACTACATGCGGATGGATACCCAGCTGATGGCAACATGCGCAGCGCGACTGTTTTACAAAAAGAGCTATTACTGTCAGCTGTAATAACACTTTAACATTAAAGCACTGAATTTCAATCAAGTTAAAGCTAATAATAGTAAAAGATACGGAAGCTAAATTAAGTTAAACCTTTTAATATTTATTCTGTTACTGTTATTTCCGATTCATTCAGGGAGGGGGGGGTATTATTGTGTTTCTTGGTGGCGGTGCAAGAATTCTTGGTGACTTTCTTAAAAACTTCACTTTTGGTCCTTTTTTTGTATAGTAGTACACCCGGAGAAAGCCAGATAGGCTTTTAAACACCGTGTTTAGTATTATTTGTTGTTTAAAGGCTACCATCAGTACCACAGTCTAAGATTATTTATAACAACATGTAGCAGCATTGTCTTCTTTTGCTGAAACCTGCGCTGCCTGGGGATACAACTAATACCCAAAACAAACAAATCGGGATAATAATAAAAGTTGCACACTAAAAACGCCGCTGTCAGTGTCTTTTCTTACCAGCTAGACACACAGCGTGCTTCAGCCGGGGTCTGTACTCCAAACGAAAGCTGGAAAGAGAGGTTGCGTCTGTTCTGAAAAAAACATGGAGCGCTAGTTGCCCCCAGTTTTATTTAACTTTAACGAAGTATTAAGGGCATTCGCCTAAAGTGGGGTGCTGGCCCAGGACATGAACCAACTGGAATCCAGCTCGCACGTCACATGACAGGAGTTTATTTCCTGACAACACCTCAACCCCCCCCCACCCAAGCCTGTGTTCTTCTGAACCCCCTTTAAGGCCATTATGCAGGAAACAAACTGAGTCTCTTTGAAGATTAACACTTTAAACCCTATTGGGAAGTTGTAAATCCTGAGGCTGGGATCATTCTTCCAGGCCGTGTTTCCTGAAATCGCTTAGGTTACTTGTAAGAATAATAACTAGAGAAACGAGAAACGGAGAGTTTATAAATAATAAATACTGACAGTCAGCAACAAACTATTTGCCGTTTGTAAATAAGTCATAATATTATTACTTGCGATATTTTAGAAGACAAGTTATTTTTTCCTCCACAGTTTAATAAACATTTCAAAAATGCTACTGAAATTCATTACAGATTATTGTATTGTTTAAACGAGAAATAGACTAAAAATAACGTCTCAAATCTCGGCACTTGTATGGTTTGAACAGCAAATTTTAATTTTAAAACGCCAATTTGTTCATCTCTGTTATATTTCTAACAGTTATTTCATATATTCAGTATACTTGCCGTTCAAGCACTATATAGAAGAAAATAAATATGTCCGCACATATGGAAATAAAACTGCGGTTGCACTAGATCCTCAACAAGGCTGTACATTCTTTCTTTCAGAAGTTATTGGAGAAACGAAAACCCAGACACTGAGTCAAGCAACACTTTTTTATCCAGAACCCAGTCCATCGCACCCAACATCCTGGGGACAAAACCACCCCAGTCGACCTGTGCAGAACGAACAGCGAAACAAACCAGAGGATACAAATAGAAGTGAGAGGGGGAGAAGGCTGAGCACAGGAGACTGGCCCTGCCACGATGGCAAAGCAGTCTCCCTTCCTGCTTCTTGAAATGATGCCTTCTTATATATTTGCATTCGTACCAGAAATTGAAAACAGGCCACATAGCGACACTGATGAGATGCTCTTATCTTCTTCAGGAAGGAGGCAAATGCTGGGAGCTCAGCCATTGAAAGCCTGTAAATAAGAGCAAGAACTGCAGACACTTTGATGCCTGGAACATGTGGGCTGGACTGCGGGCCTGTGTATCGGTGTCCATATTTGAAAAAGCTTAGACTTAAGAAAAAGACTGATGTGTTTATGTCGACACATCAATTACTTCATCAGACAATGTGGGAAAGCAATTGAAAAGGTAAAGAAAACGTTAGGATATGTAGATAAAAGTGTAGAATTGAAATCAGTGTTGTGTTGAAATTGTATAACGCACTAATACTAATACTTATACTAATACTAATAGAGTGGAGCAGTGGCTCTGTGGCTAAGGATCTGCAACTGTGGCTGGAAGGTTGCTGGTTCACATCCTGCAGCCAGCAGGGAAATCTTACTCCATTGGGCCCCTGAGCAAGGCCCTTCACCCCAACTGCTCCAGGGGTGCTGTACAATGGCTGACCCTGCGCTCTGACCCCAAGCTTCTCCTCTCTCTGTGTGTCTCATGGAGAGCAAGCTGGGGAATGCGAAAAGACTAATTCCTAATACAAGAAATTGTATAGGGCTAATAAAGTTATGTTAATAAGGTCTCTTTGGAATATTGTGTACAATTTTGGGGACCTTATGATGTAAAACTGCTCTGGAATCAGGTCAAGGAGTAAAAGGATACTGTACATTCCCGGGCTTAAGGGGGTGTCTGACACTGACAGGCTGGACTTAGTCTTGATCAGAGGAGAATAAAAGAGAACCTGATAGAAGAGTACAAAATCTTTAAAGGCATTGAAAGTCAACACAGTGGGCTTCTTCAGAACGAGCAGAGACACATGAACCGGAGAACGCAGGTGGAACCTGTGTGAAAGGGCATTAAAAACAACCTACCCAACTGAGCTGTCGAAGCCGATACCCCAGTTTCTCTCAAGAAATGTTTGGATGAGATCCTTGGATTCATTAACTACGAACTAGCAAATGGGCTAGATGGGCAAGACTATGAACAACGATTCAAACGATGTATTTGCCGAAAGCATCCGAAGGACAAATACAGCTCAGGTTGCAAACCCGCTCTTCAGAAATTCATGACTCCCCTCCTATAAGAGTACAGGATGTGTAAATTATAAAACTGTATTCCTACTGTATTCAAACAGTCGTGAACGGGAAGAGTTCTGTGTGACTAATCTCACCGTGGAGTTAACACTCATCAATGCAGTTTTAGTGGTGTCTGGGATTGTTTGTGTGAGGTAGGGCATTCTCTTTCTCTCTCGCCTTGTGTTTTTCTGTGATCTACCAGTCATGTATGTGATTGGATTTCAGCTTAACAAAACCTTAAATTACACACCTATTGTGTGGGAGCTAAACCCGGTTTCATAGCGATAGGGCAGGCTCCTTGCTGCTCTTTTGGCTGCTATTCGATCGGAATCCTGCCTTCTCTCTCCAGGTTGTTGAGTGAATAATAATAGGATTAGGAAGCCTTGTCTCTGGAAAGCCGTGATTGTCACATTTGGTGGACTGACAAAAGGCAGGGTAATGGGAAATGTGCCTTGTGGCGTCCGGACATGTGTTCCCTTGGCTTGAGGCTGCCCGACCAGTGCTGACGATCGCCTGCTCTGTCCTGGCTGCGGTCTGGTTCCCCCATTTCTCTCTGCCCCGCTCCCAACCGCAGCGGTCCCTCCCTCCTCATCCTCGGGCAGTGCTCATTCAGATCTTCACATGCAGATAACACCGACTGCTCCTAATGCACCACGTCATCTCCGTATCACTGTATAAAACGGCATTCAGAAATTAAAAACCAGAGGCAGATGTTAAGACCATTATCACCTTTAAAAGTAATCATAACGATTGCCTGCACTTCTATAGCACTTTATATTTCAAGGGGTCTCAAACTCCACTGGACAGCTTACTGGCACACTGAAGTGAACAGGTAAACCGTGATGATAACTAATTGCAATTATATCTGGCTTTTCATCCCGAAGAATATTAAAGTGTGCCACGTATAGGAGTGGACCAATTTCATTCTATTGTGAGGTGCAGAACCACTGGAGTGAGGCTAGGTAGCCCTTTTGAGCCCCACTGCAGGTCCAGAAGTGAGGGACTATTTCAGCATTTGCAGGAAGGGGGAAATTTAGCGAGGCCAGATTTTGGAATTTGGCCATGTTTCTGTTAACATGCTTTCCCTTACAAACAGTTAATTAAAGGGGAGCTGGATTCCCAATTTCTCCGAGCGTTTTTTTACATCCCAGTAAAAAGAAAATACATTCATTGATGTTATAGGAAAAGTCGACAAATTCGACAAAAATTCTACCCAAAAAATCTACAAAATCGGGACCTTTGTGAAAGTATTGTAAAGTCGCCATGTTGTCGCAAAGTCACATTCAAGTTCCCACAAATTGCCAGGTGATGAGGCCCTTCCTGCTCACTAGTCACTGGAATGACCAATGTAATATGATGATCGAGTGAATAAGTTAAGGTTGTGCAGCATACATTTCACCCCAGAAATGTTCCAACATGTTCTGCATGCAGCGTTAATAAATACCTTGTATTTGTCGTCACGCCGTCTTGAAATCAAGAGCAATATTTCTATTGGATTAAGAGAGATGTATTCGCAAGCCTTCTTCTTTACAGTGTGGTGAGGCTGCAACACGTCACCGGAAGTTGCGTTGCCCTCTTCTGAATTGCAGAACAATGGCGCTGCCCAGACCTGGAAATTCAATCTATTTGTGATGTAAATTGGAGGTGTTGCAAGCTACTGTGTATGGTTTACTTTTATTGCACTTTGAAAGGCACTCAATGCTGATACTTTCTAACCCCGAAATATGAAAATAGCATTGCGGTTCTCCTTTAACGTGTAGTCAGGACCTCAATTTGACCCATAAGAAAGCCCCTCTGACAGGCATTGTGTTTTGGGAACCTTATGAGCCCCTTCACTTACATCGGTGGCCAGGTTTTCCTTGGAGGTGCCGAGCAGGCCCAGCTGAACGTCGTGACGCCTGGGTTAATGTTGCGGCGAGTTTAACGAACCCTGTGCAGGTCTCTGATGGAGTCCTGGGTGAGCGAGGTCCAAGAAGGGCAAGGCAGGAGAGAAGTCGAGAGGTCCAGGCGTAGTCGAGTCCAGAGAGGAGAGCTGGGCACACGAGTCCAAGCAGGGCCAGACGAAAGAATGGGCAAAAGGTATGAGCTGGAGAGGGGTCCGAGAGGCGGGGTCCGGGAGTGCAAGATGGCGAAGGTTGTCAGTAACGAGAGCTCAGGAGGTGGACAGATTCCTAATACCGAGCAGTGAACAGGGTGAGCAGAGGGGTTAAGCAGTGAGGGAAGGGGCGTGGTGTGGTAATTGGGTAACGGGAGTTAATTAGGGCCAGCTGTGCGCATAACAGTTAAATCCTGTGCTCTCTTCTCAATTTAAATTGCATCACCTAAAAGCAGACCACGGCCAATAATAGTACCTTGCGATATCTTATAACTGTACCATTATCATTAGCCTGTGTTGTTTCTGCACATTACAGTATATATTCTCGCATTATTTACAGATTGTTGACTTCCACCTTAAACACTTGCTTACATACAGTATATATGGTGGTGTATTTACACGGTCCACGCTGAATACCTGTTCACTTACACCTGACACGGAACGAACCCCCGAATAAAATAAAGTTGTTCTCAGTTTTGTTTCTGGAGATATTGCCCAGCAGACAGAGTCCTCCCGACTTTCCTGGAGTGCCTTGTATTTTAATTAGCTGAGTGCGTGTTTCCTCCCACACCTCCCCAGACTCTGACAGCCATAAGAAAATGAACATCTATTTCAGGAAATGATAGCTGACCCTGCTTGCTCCTTCCTTCCCTGGCATTTACTTAGACTATTAACACCTTAATAGCAGGAGCTCAGCCTCCCTCCTCGCGTGTGTGTTTTGCATCCTCTTCATGCAGTCCCTGCCAGAGATGCATGCTAAAAGCCTTCTTGGGGGAATTCTAGGCTTGTATAGCCCCTTGCTTTCTCGGTCATTCGCTCTGCTCCTGGATTATTCAGTCTACCGGTGTAACTGGAGATCCAATCCATACAATAGAGGCGTTCTGCTCAGCATGAAATGGACACCAAATGACCCCTCTCCCGTGCGTCTCTTTTACTTTACTCTTACATCCCCCCTCATTATTAGTTACCCCCAGTGAAGGACACAATGGAAGCACAGGCAGCAGCCAATACTGCTGCATAAATAATGCAAGGTCAAGATTTTGCAGAATTCCCCTTGGCCAGGACAGTCCCTGGGTCTGACACACCAGCAAGTCCCCGATGGATGATTTATCATATCTCGCTTTCCGTTCCGTCGTGGTGTCTGTGCAGCCGCCTGTTTTGCAGCAGAATACAAACACGCTCCTTCCCACTCAAGAGGAACGACTTGTTAATGCCCCCGGTTGAACTTGCCTGCTGTCTTGCTGGCCAATGCCCCCAATGAAAGAGAGGACACAGCCAGTGAGGTTTAATTCCTTATACTGAGCGTGATTCCAAAACTGCTGGAAATGGAGCAGCTGGGAAAATAAGGGGTGCTCTAATCGACACCCTATGCCACGCTTCAGTCAGGATTCCTGAAGATCCAGAATATATGGAAGCTATGGGCTGTGCAGTGCCCCTCATTCAGGAGTTCGAGCCCAGGACAGTGAGAAAAAGCAGGAAAGATGTTGTAAGGCACCATCCCTCCTCCTTCTGCGGCAGGTCACAGGAAAGTGTCAGCTCAGATTGCCTCTTAACCATCTGCCATTAACAAAGAGCAATCAATTTTCCAACAGTAGCACAACACATGTGAACATGGCAGACCTGCTGGATTATTCTCCTAATGAAATGAGAGGGGAAGCCTGTCAAACACCCCTGATTAAAACTCGCACTCTGGTTTGCATGCAATTACACCGGATCTGAGTTACTTTCCGGCGGAGGGCAGGGGGCTGAAAAATGCTCTTGCCAACGTTAGAGAATGCACTGCTGTTAAGAGTTATCAGAACTAAAGCATAAAAGACACAGAGTAAAAGAATTCCGAAGAATCCCAGATACACAAATATCATCACTCCTGACAGAATGAGGGTTGTTAAAGTTAACGCTTGCTCTGGAAACTATTCATCCAGTAAGTACAATTTGACAGCTGTGTTATGCAGTTTCTATTGCCACACCATTTTGATCATTCTACTTCTATAACAATTAGAAAAAATGTTTTGGAAGGGAACAACAAAATCCCAGGACCTATGACTGGAAAAAAAAGTGCAATGAGGATAAAATCAGCGCAATAAACAGTGCCTGCTTGCCACCATGCCTTGGTCTACTGCAAAACAGTGCTTCTGAGTGCATTTAATTGCCAGACTGTCTTGTAGATTCTTATAATAGAATTTATCAAGTAACTGTCAACTGGAGCTCCATCTCCTAGATCTCCTTGAAAACGAAACTCCAAACATACATTTAAGATATTAGAGCGCTTGTAACAATGCTGTAACACAGTGTGTGATGCTCTGCTGTTGACGAGAGCTGCAGACATCAGAAAAAACTGACAAAGCCTGTCACTGACAAGAAAGAGAGACTGCATGCGAGCCAAAAAATATAAAATAAAACGATTGCGGATAAATCACTTCAAGCAATTATCAACTTTGAACTACAGCTTTCAAAAAAAAAAGAACCCAGAGTTTCTTTACACAAGTCTTCAGTGTTCAAAGACCAGCTGAAGTTTCTAAAACCCTGCAGTGCCACTTTATTGAGCAAAGCTGCCTGGCAGCGCTGGAGAGAGGTTAGGTGGAGGCAGCGACTGGCATTCAGCGAAAGGGATTGAGCCCTGGTGTCTTGCTGGTGACCAAAGTGTGATCTACCTGCGGGTTAGATGCCTAAGAATAAGGTATTATTGATCTTTTTTCAAAATCAAAAGAAGCATTTCTCATTTTTAAAATTAAGAAAAAGCAAAACGGCACAAGTTCCTAATTACCTGGACATAAGCTGTCCATGTAAGCACCAGAGGTATTTATGGAAGCACTCTAATAAGAGCTTCATGTTGTCTTGTTCTAGTTTATTGTGGCAATGAGAGTTTTTGTGCCCAGACAGGTGAGGCAGGGCAGTAAATGTTACTGCCCTTGACCTCCAGTACATGCAGACCAACATTGAGGCTACATAACCAAACAGTAGCACAAAAGACATGATAACTCTCAGGTCATTTAGACTGGATGTAAAAATTATTGACGCTGAGTAAAGAACAACAAATGTGCTCATAAGGGTTGTATGTGTTTACTGGTACCAAAGGACAACAGCAGGTATTATAATATTCAGGATTTATGAACACCAGGAATATTATTATTATTTTATAATGGCATTATCTATTGTCATGTTTTAAAGTTTCTCTGTCACATCAACAAAAACACATAAATACATAAAATCATGATCTGAAACATACAATTACAACAACACAGATAACGCTGTGTTTTAAGTGTGTGTGCCTTTTTGGAAATATGGACATCATTCTAGTTTAAAGATTAATTTCAGTCATTCACAAATGCAGTCAAAGGGATTGTTCTGTTCTATGCCTTTCCTAAGTGTTTCATCATTGCTATAGTAAGAATATAGGTTACACAGCCACATATGCTGTTATTTGTCATTCTTTGAACAATGCAGATGTAGTTAATCCTATGCTCTGTGCAATCTAAATATTTTAAATAGGAACTCAATCAATTGAAGTTCATAACAGCACAGACATTTTCCCACAACCAATAGGTGGTTTCAGAATTATCCCAGAAAAGATTCTGAAAACAATGGTGTATCAGGGTAAGTAATTCTCTTTAAGAACTCTAGCTGCTCACCTAAAATTAAGAGCTCTTTGCTGACAGCAAAGTGAAACTCTTTTCACCAATGACCTGTCACTGAGAAAAAGCATGGTTTTTCTTCACTGTCAAGCAAATCTCATTCAGCAGTTTTGACAATCATCCAAAAGACATTTTGATTGTTCTCTCTTGCACTGTAATAATTGGGTAGCACTCCATACTTTCTACATGAATACAATACAGAAACAATACAGTAATAATTGCTGTACTAAAAACAAGTCATCCTTTCCAAGTCCCACTTTCCCTGGAACTTGAACAACAGTATCATCACGCTCTGCACTGCATTTTTCTCCCTCTAAGATGTTCACTGATGAAGTGCTCAAGACACAGCACCAGATTCCTCCTTGAGGTCATCGGTCATTAGTTTTGATCCCCATTGATCACCAAGCTGGTCCTACACGCTTGTTTTATTGAGCAACCCAGAGGCAGAGGAGATGGTGGTGTCAGGTCATTCCTTACAGTAATACTTCCGAAAGGTGATGTGGATGGATCAGTGCTTCCATGAAGGTTGCAGGCATTCGGCACAGAAACTGGATACCGTTCTGATTCTATTCCGACCATGTTGAAGTCATCGGCACATTCGCTTCTCTCAAGATTTCAATACACAAACGTACACAAAGCATGTATTTTAATACAGCCTTGACATACTCATAACTGAAGAAGATGGAAAAACCATCAGGATCTAAGCAATAAAAAATACTTAAGTAAATAATGATAATTACTATGTACGGAGGCACAGACACAGCCCAAGAAATTCCAGGTAACGATGTTACTATAGCACAACTATTATCATATGAACAAACAAAGCAAGTTCTCTCTTTGAATGCCAATATTTATTTACGAACTTCGTTTCACATGGCTTTTTATGATTGTCAGCAGTTTTGTTTTTTCTTGGTAGTATTTGCATGTAATCTGTTTTTGACACAGCTGGAGGGACCCGGTCTGTGCCACAGCTAGCTAGTAGTCCTACAGTCAGTTAACTTTCTTTAATGTGCTCCTGTAACCAAGAGAAAACAAACCTCATACAGCACACCGGCTGACAAGCAGGAAATCCCAATACTGTAGCGATTATGGCATCGCTTCTGGTGATAAGTAGGCCTCTCTCCACAGATAAATAAAATGCATCAAATTTGATCAGAAGATATGGTTTCTGGCTGTCAAAACTTTCACTGGGAAATAAACACTTGATACATTCAGGCCCAGAAGTACGGCTACATATTTTTCAAAGTATTGGAAATCAATAAGGAACAAATTATTTATGGAAAATATATCCTGTGTTGAAATACTGTTGGTAAGCCTTCTGGATTTATTAAGAAACATGCCCACACAAATCATGAATAGTCTGTCTCTTTTCACTACAGGAGTCGGGGATGTGATGTGTGTTTTTCTGCGTGTAGGGAGGGGAATTGTGGAAGAGTCAGAGCAGTTTCACAAGAGCAGATGACAATTTCTTCTCTCTACAACTTTTAAAAATAAAACCAGCAACTTACTGCGGTGAAACCATTGGGTTTTTTTTTTGTAATTTTTATTTTGAATGCACACAACTTGGGAAAATGCCGGGCCCTTCTGTCGCATCCCCCAGTTGTCACTCTCAATGAGACCTCCCCCTGCCTTTTGCAAAATTTAAACAGGGGGCCCTTGTCGTTCATGTCATTCCACTCCTGATAGCGCTGGGACACATGCTCGTCTCTCCTGTGCATCATCCGTGCCCAGAACCTACAACAAAACAGAGTAAGAGAAGTAACACAGGTACAAAATACATAAAACAAGCCCTTGAATGCGCCCCGTCTGAGACACAGGCCATCTGTCGAGGACTGGCTGCTGCAAGGACTTCTGCAGCCTCATCGTGGCCGATAACTAGGGAACGAAGACCAAGACCAAAAGCTGGCGGACACGTCACGCTCTCACGCTTCACTTGTGATGGACGCAGACTTTGGCGGATCCTGGTGCACTGACAGACCTTGGTTAACGCTCTTCTTTTCCCTCCGAGCAGCGGAG